ATGCTTCTTTTAAACTGTGATGTCTGCCAATCTTTTTGTTGCCAATTTGGACATACGTGGTTTTATTTTGCACTTTGTTTTTTTTATCTATTGACATACTGATTCAATACCATAAACTTTTCTTATTTCAGAGAACCGTACTCTTCACCTTTTTCTTTTTCAAAACCTGTTTTTGTTGAGTATATATTTCGTTTTTTCGAAGTATTTTGGTGTTGGAAATATCTGTTTTGGATTTTATTACATACGTAGAATTACAGTAACAACTGGCTTACATATAGTCATTTTGGGATTGAACGAACTCAAATGGACCGTTTTATAAGATATGAATTTTGTCCACGTGTGACGTGTTTGGGAACACTGTACCACAGCGGCACCTTTTATGCAGCCATCTTGCGCCCTCAAGGAATTGATTTCCGCCCGCGGATCGTAGGAGGAAGCGCCCCCACGCGCCGTTATGGCCCCGCCCTCATGCGTAAATAGCTTCACTCCTCCCAAGACCGAGGGCCTGCCGAAGATATACAGGCTGTCTGAGAATAAATGTTACAAGTTTCCAAGACATGTAGATGGTCGAAGATAATTACTTTTTGCCAACGAACATGTTGTAAGTAATTCCTCACTAAGGTACACGCTTGGTTAAGTTGATCCCCATTGGCCTTGCGGCATATGAAAGGACTCTGGGAAAATCCCTGCAAATTTTAATCCTCAGAAAATTCGCGCCCTTATCTGATCGCATTAATACTCTTAACCGGGGATCGCCTCAAATGTTAGATAAATGCAAGTGACCTGCATCAAAAATGCTGCTAAAGAAAACCATTCAATGGTTTTAAAAAGCGGAGCACACACTGCTCGATAAAATCAAATAAAGTACTGATAAATAACACTGCAACAAATTATACTATTGTTTAACAAAAACAATCTACAATAATAGTAGTGTCCAATAATATAAGTGTACTATATTTTTACGAGTTCGTAGTACAACAGTTCTTTACACAGCAAGAGTATAAAAATGTCCCTGCTCCGAAACGCAACACGTGAATAGTAAATAATTAATTGCGGGCGACCTCTACCTCGGTGTCTTGCTGTCGCTTGATGTCAACTACGCCGAAATCAGTGATGCAAAAAATGTGAGAAATCGGTCGATTCACGCAGCCGAAATGACACAGAATAGTATTTGCTTTTTTCAAACAAAATCTAAACTGTCTCACTTTTTTCGATTTTTTGGAATTTGCCGAAACCATAATACCCCTCACATAGCCGGAGGATGCATAGTTTTTTTTTCAATTTCTGGGGTAATATAGATCACTGAAATATTTGTGGTGGTGCCCTCTTACGTCAAATGCAGAAATAAAGTTTTCTGTCAACGATGGAGGGTTTTTCTAAAATATTCCCAGCAATTTTAACCTACAGAAATTTCCACATTCATTTAATGTACATTACATTACAGTAATTGAACGCATATTAAATTTAATGTGCACATGTACATTAGAATGCAAGAGCCAATGCCTTATGACCATATCTGGAAGGAAAAACTGAACGATCTAGATGCACAATGAATGTAATTCACTATATTTATGAATGCACGATATGAATGATATGGGGCGGGGGAAAGGAGAGAACTTTTACATTAAATATACATTGATTTTGACTTGTGTTTTAAATTTATTGTACAAATATATCAAGCTCGTTTTAATGTACAAGATTAATACATTAAGTTTCATGTACAATACAATAATATGCATTAGAGCTAATGGCATTTTCGGCAGTGTGTGTTAAGAGTGGGAAAATGGATCAATCACCGAGTGACCGGGCATTGCAAATAAATAAACCAATGTTCTTGATATCACATACAAATATCAAATCTTTATTAACACTTTCCTCGCTGACTTAATTTATCCGATCAGCTCGATGCTCAGAAAACTGAGTATTTTCTTCTTAGAAACTTCTCTCCTGACATTTTATTCCAAGAAATTTGTTTCCCATCTTTTCGCTCTTAAATGTATCCTCACTACTGAAACGTGCAACTGAAAACATGAATGTTAAGAAAGTGCCAATTGTTATAATAATGTAAGATATTATTGTTGCAAATTAGCTCCTACTTGAAGGCAAACATTTATTATCTCATTTAATAGTAGAGCTTGATTTCGCAAATAGAAATGTCAGCACATAAGTTGAAAATAAATGATAAGCAATGCTAGTTGTATCACACCTATCAACAAAATATGTTATATATGTTTTCTGCTTTGTTTTTTATATTTTATTTGCTTTATATTTATTGTTATTTACCTAATTTCCTTGTGAATTGTAAAAGTTGTCGGGGATACGTACGCAGTGCATGAATGAATTCACGAAATATATTCGTACGACTTAAAGGTATGTCCCCAAGGTGAATGACTAAAGTGAATAAACTATATCGTACACATTATTTATTGTTCTTGTGAATGATTCACAGACATTGAATGCAAGCGTTACGATGCACTTGGGAATACTATGACAGACGTTAGTAAATCAACATTGTTCTATTCGTCAAACTTAACAGGATTAAAGTGAGCCGAAATAGCGGTGACCGTTCTAGGCGTCGGAATTCAAAACACAACTGACCCGATTAGAGTTCTCTGCGCGATGGCGTCATTCCCTTGGGCCGGCCCGTATCAGAGGTCAACGAGGCGGCCGTTACCTCTTTCAAACCGCCAGATAGCCCGGAGGCAGTTATCCCTCTTTGTGACGTCCCAACTCGTCCTCGCCGAGAATATGTGTGAGTCAGTGTCATGTCGGTACTCGCGCACTTTACTGCTAAAAAGTGCTCTTTATCTGTTGGCAAGGCCTTGTCAGTAACGGGAGGGGAGAATAGTGTGATTTAAAGAATGTGATAATGAGTTTACTTGTTACGCATGTATATCAAAAAAGGAAATTAATACACAACAAATTTCCTTCGAACATGTAACCAATCCACGGTCGTATTATTATAATAATTACATTGTACATTATTACGTTTATATATTACATTCTGCTCCGTTCATGAAGAAATCCTATTTCCTGGGATAAATAATAGACTGTAAACATGATTAACTAGCGTAATATTGGTTCAATTATGTGGGTGCAGATTATGTAATTAATTTTTTGTGTTTATTGTTAAAAAGTCATGCGTAATTACGTATCATGCTGCATAGTTTGTAATTTAGAGGGAAGGGGTTGGAGTCGCAGCTGCCGTTCTCGCAACCAGGAGTGGGTTATAACGTAAGCTGCCTAAAAAGGTGATCAGGGTCCCTGCTGGAAAGGAACCCCCAATTAATTTTTAAATATGATTTTATAAGTTCATAAAGGTTTAATATTTTAATATAACATTTTTATTTACGAAGAAAATACATTATTTTCGTGTTAACTTTAATTGCATGTGTTTAACACTTTCTCATATATCAAGTCCCTCAAGATAATAAGGAGCGTGCAGCACATTTAATTACATTAACTGTTAAAATACTAAATTTAAAATAAAACTACGACAAAACTTATCATCAAAACATATATCGCGTGTACGTCACTGTAATTAGTACCTTTTTATCGGACCGCAAGGCCCTAACACGTGAATGCAATCTACATTAGGTTACATAACTAAGAACAAATATGTATGCCCATATGATGTATCAAACGCTTAACCCATCCAACACCTAACTGCACTACACTTCTGAAGAAACGATATGTCGGTCGAAACTTCGGCACCTCAGCCTGCGACGCAGCGTCATCCGAACAGCCCAGATCACCATTTTATCTTGCCAATACAGTTGACTCTTTACCCAGTTAGTACAGCGGCCTGAAGTCAACGCCATACGCAGCGAGAGGCGAGGGGGGGGGGGGCAGGCGT